AGACATAGCAAGCATGATTCTCTCAGGCTCGGACAATGATAGAGTTTCTATGGAATCAATCAGGCCATACCACAGTCTCAAATTAATTTGACGTCTAACATTTATTCCCAAATTTTGTTTAGCTCACATATTTTGAATCAAGTCTGCAACAAACTATACTGCATTGACATTTTCAAATTGCAGTTCTTTCTTGGTTTCTACAGAGTGCATGATAGTTTGAAGATGATGACTATGCATAAAGCCATTGCATGCTCCTCCGGCATATAATGCAGCTTACAAATAGCCAATTGGATTCTGCTTGAAAATCTTGAAATTAGAGGATAGAGAGTACAAGAGAGAAAGAACAGTTTGAGATTTTCCCTAAAGAATTTAATTTCTTCTTCTGATGATATACAATCAGGAAAACTCAGAAACAAGGAAAGCAATACAGAAGTAGCACTGCCTAATTTCTTGTGGTGGGGATTGTGAGACGAGCAGAAACCTCAATTTGCAGTATCTTCCTCCTCTCTCCCCTCTCTATTTTGACCCATTTGGTGGAAGTTGAAAATGCAGAGCTAGCTGCTCTTTTCTGTTTTTCTTTGCTTTTATATGCTCCTTTTGTTTCCCTTACTCATAACAGCACAATAAGATGCCTTAAAGGGCATAAATCAAGACGTAACATGATGTTAAACCTCAAGGCAATTTCACACAATAAGCTAATCTCTGGAACGAGTGAAGTGTGTGTTTGTATCAATAGGTATCAAATCCTTCCACTTAAAAGATTGTAATGCCGGTCTTGCAGTGTTTATTTGGGGCTAGAAAACTAGCACATAGCCAGCTTACAACCCTGTTATGGAAGTGGACACCTATACACTAGCACATATTTAATTTCCTTCACTTACACAATTGGATCGCAAAATTTTCGTGAGCTGAAAATTCTGACCTCCTGTACCAACAAGCAACAATTCTACCTACCGTTATCTTTCTACAAACTGAGAGGATCTTCCTCTAAAACCCCAAATTTAATGTTTGGATGCAGCAACTCAGCACACATGTAAATTCTAACAGGGTTCCCAAGTTTTTCAGTTAGTCAATAAGTATGGCATAAAAGTCTAATTAAATAAAACAACCAATTTAGTCATGTATTTGCATCAATCCAGTAAACAACTAAGAACTATATAACAAAGAACCAAAATAAATCACATCACTCGGACAAAATACACAGAAAAAGAAATAAATAACACCAAAAGACAAATAATATTCAATTCTGACCTCAAGAGCTCGGTCATGCTTCTTGTATTTCCTCAATTCTTTCACCAGTCTACAAAGCTCCCATTTCGTGAGAGTCTTCCCCTCATTCTCCCACTGATTCAACACACTCGCAGAACCCAACTCTGGGTTTTTCATCAATGATATTCTCCTGTACACATCGTTCCATCTCACAATGGGTCTTCGCTCATAGTCCAGGGTTCCGTAGCTATGAACTTTAGAAATTGAGCATCTGATGGGGACTCTCCGGAAACATACGGTTTGTCGAAGGGTGCAAGTGGAAATTTTGAGAGGACGAGGTCGAGAGCAACATAGAGACGATGAAAGAGATACGTTTTGGTTGTGCAGAGAGGATTGAAGAAGCATGTTTTGGGTTCAGTGGGTACAAGCTCGAACTCGATACAGGAAGTAGGTTTGCTTTTCAGCTCGAATGAGATAACAGAAAGGAGAGACGAGTACGCCAAATGGGCAGACAGCGAGGTCGGTTCCTGGGTCCCTTTTTTTTTTTAGAGAGTGAGTGAATCAATCGTATTATGGAATTTATTCTTTAACTTTAAAAGAGGTGTAACTTAACTTTTATCATTAAAAAAATTAATTTTAATAATTAATTTAATCAATTAATAGCTTTAAAAATTATAAAAAAATTCATAAATAATAAAAAATAATTTAAAAATTATAAAAAATAAAAAAAATTAGTTATTTTTAATTTTAAATTTTTTATTTTCTAACAATCAAAATAATTTTTGCAATGTATAGATTATATTATTTTTAAAAATTGAGAAAAAAATTTTATAATAAATAAGTTCAAAGTTTATGATATTATTAAATTTAGAGTTCAGGAATAATAAAGATATATAAATCATAATATTGATAAATTAAAAAATTATGATCAACAACTCAAATTTTTAAAAAAGAAATTTGAGTTTTTTCAAAATTAAAGACAGTAAAATTTTCAATAATTTTTTTTAAAAATTAAATTCTAAATATCTACTTTTACATAAAAAATATTTAAACTGTTATAAACAATTAAACTTGGTTTAACAAATGAAATCTTTCCTATTATGAAATTCAACAATTAAAAATACATTTAAAACCTTTTGGCAAAACAAAATTACAATTCATGTAAAATATTCAATTCGATGTCAAATTACAAGGAACAGGCATATTAATTTACACATAAAAATAGTTGGGTGTTTAAGAATTACTCCTATTATTCTTTTCTGTTTTACCTATTATTAAAGCGATTAAGTTTTATGTCTAGTGCCTCCCATTTTATATGGGGAGATGGAGAGCACTGTAAGTTTTTTTCCCCAACAATAAAAAAAGAACATTAAATTAATTAATTATTCATTACTTTTTTTAATATTATTTATATTTGAGAACAAAAAAATATTAACAAATTGTTTATTATATTTGATATTTTATAAAGGAATCCTTTAATAGTCTTTTGCATAGTTTTAACTTTGTAAACTTCTATTATCCCGAATGTTTGTAAAAAACAATCAAATCAAGCATGGTGTCGTGAAGCGTGCCAGAGACATGGAGTCTAAAAAGATTAAAGAACTTGACTTTTATTCAAATGTGGAGAATTCGGACTTCCTTACCACAGTTCACCCGGATGTGAGAATGAGAAGCGAAGAAAATTAATGTAGATATAGGAAAGCAGAGGTACATTAATTAAAAAAAAAGGTGGCGAGTTATGCTGGCTGTACAATAAAAAAAACTAAAACCACATGATAAAAGAAAAAATAAAATAAAGTAGCAAACACGGACTCTGAGACTGATAGTTTGCTATTACTAATGATAACTGTTGAAAGAGAGCTCCTCTATTTATAGATGATCCTAGTTTGATGCCCAAGTCCCATGATCGCTACTTTCCTTGAATTTAGAAAACACTTCCTCCATCATAGTCACTCATCATGGGTGATGGTTTTGACTTAATGACTAAAGCATCATAAATTTTTTTTTTATATAATTATTTTAAAGTCAATTAAGTTGAATTGGGCCGGGCCTCTAAATTCACAATTTGGGTGCAAACAATGCCTCCTGCATACAAATTGGTTGGAGTCTTTATAGGCCAATTTTATATGGATGTTAATATTTGCCTCATTTCCAAGCATTGTGTGAGTAGTATGTCTTAGAGGATTGGCTCGTTTCCATTCTGATTGATGATTGATTTGGTACTTTACTTAAAGGGCACTCTTGTGGTTGAGAATTAGGGACCATGTGGTCTAACCTAAGATCAAGTTTCTTAAGGTTTAAGACCTCAAGAGTTGGTTTTGGAATTGACCTTTCGACTTGTTGGACTTTAAGGATTGGTTCTGTAAAATCTAGCTGCTGCAAAGCCCCTATAGAGAGAGCTCTTTAGGAGAAAGCTCTTGTGGAAAGCCCTTATGGTATTGGCCCCCTTTGGTCCTTATGGCGCTGGCCCCTATGGTGTTGGCCCTTGTGGCTTTGTCGGCCCTTATAACTCCGGCCTCTCTAATGTTGGCCCTTGTTCTAACCCTAATGACTTTGGCTCTTGTGGCTCCGGCCCCTTTGGTGTTGGCCCCAATGGCTTTGGCCCCAACAGTGCTGACCCCAATGACTTTAGGCTTGATGATGCTGGTCCCAATGGCTTTGGCCCTTATGGCTCCAGCCTCGATGGTGCTGGCCCCAATGCCTCTGGTTCTTGTGGCTCCGGCCCTAATGGTTCTAGCCTTTGTGATTGAACGAACTTGTTATTGAATTAAACCTGTCATTTATCTTTTGAGGGATGTTATAGCAGTTCTGACTATTGATCTTTTGGTCAAAAGGCACTTTGGGAGATTGCTCCCCGAGTCCATTCGTTCCTTGAAGGTGCAAGCCAATTGAAGCTTGCTTCAGTGACGATTTAGACAGCATAACAAAGATGTTCCTTAACCCTTCTTTTAGAGTTTACAACAAAGCTCTTTGCCTCTCGTTAGCTCAAACTTTACGTTCTGCATGTGCAACCACATTTTTTGAGTCGTAAGACTCAGGTCTATTCTTTCCCACATCATATTGATTCTTATGTGTCCTAGGCATTTCTTTCACATTGGTTTCACCAAGCATGCCAAAAATTGCTTATAAAAAACAATCAAATCAGGCGTGGTGTCACGAAGCATGCTAGAGATGCGAGGTCTCAAAAGGATAAAAGAACTTGACTTCTATTCAAATGTAGAAAACTCGAGCTCCCTTACCACAGTTCACCTGGATGTGAGAATGAGAAGTGAAGAAAATTAATATAAATGCAGGAAAGCAGAGATACATTAATTAAAGAAAAAGGTGGTGGGCTATGTCGGCCATATAACAAAAAAATAAAGACTAAAACTACATGATAAAAGAAAAAATAAAATAAAATAGAAGACGCTCAGTCTGAGACTGGTAGTTTGTTAATGTTGACGATGACAATTGAAAGAGAGCTTCTCTATTTATAGATGATCCTGGCTTGGTGTCCAAGCTTCATGATCGTCACTTTCTTGAATTTAGAAAACACTTCCTCCATCATGGTCACTCATCATGGGTGACTTGATTTAATGGCTAAGGTTTCATAAATATTTTTTTATACAATTATTTTAAAGCTAATTAAGTTGAGCTGGAATCGGGCATATAAATTTATAATTTAAGTGCAAACACTCACTAATTTTTTTAAAGGTTTTGCAATTAATATTTCTTTATTTTATTTTTTTCTCTGTTTTTTCATTTTAGAATATGAGGACAAGAAACTTTAACACACTCCTAAAGACACAAACCCATGTTTCACTAATCCACTTCCCTCGAGGCCTTCATAGCAGAAGCGCGAGGCGCGAGAGGCAACGGCGCTCATCTCAATCTTGCTTTAATTTTATCAGAATTTTGTCTTTCTAGAGTGAACTGAATCGCTGAAATCTTCGAATCCTAGATTCCCTCTTCCTGGTCACATAAGAAACGTCGAAATGGCGGCCATGGAGGTTGAAGTTAAAACAGCGGAAAAAGAAGAGGAGCAAGTGGTGAATCCATGGGAGGTTTCTGCCAAAGATGGAGGCAAGATCGACTATGACAAGCTCATCGACCGTTTTGGCTGCCAACGGCTTGACCATTCTCATATTCAGCGGGTTGAGCGCTTGACTTCTCGTCCTGCTCATGTGTTTCTCCGTCGCGGTGTTTTCTTCGCTCACCGGTATGCATTCCTTCTCTTTGAATTTTCTCCTCCATAGAAATTCAACGCTAATGTAGATTTCTTATTTGGAGTCAGCGATTTCAATGAAATCTTGGATGCATATGAAAGAGGAGAGAAGTTTTATTTGTATACAGGACGAGGACCATCTTCAGAAGCTTTGCATCTGGGTCATCTGGTTCCGTTTATGTTTACAAAGTAAGTAGAATTTTTGCTCGGCAATGAAAAGAGAAAAAATCAATCCGTATATAGAGATTTAACTCAATTGATTCTGCAATAAAGTATCGAGGAAGTTTGGAAATTAGCATATACAGTTCAAATTATTTGAGTGAAGAAAATGAAGAATTACATTAAGCCATTCTAGTTTCAGAAGGATGTTAACTTAGTTGAAAATGTGTCTAGGTATTTGCAAGATGCCTTTAAGGTTCCTCTCGTTATACAACTCACGGACGATGAGAAGTTCTTGTGGAAAAATCTCAGCATAGAGGAGAGCCAAAGACTTGCACGAGAGAATGCTAAGGATATTATTGCTTGTGGTTTTGATATTGCCAAGACTTTCATTTTCTCTGATTTTGATTTTGTTGGCGGGTGAGTGAGACATGACTGCAGCTTTGGCTTGATGATATATTCTCAAGTATGGTTTCACGGATTTAAGATGTTTCTTCCAATTTTGTATCATCTACGGTTTTAGGAATTTCATTGGTATGAGTCTAAATAAATTCTGGAATCTTGCTGCCATTGAGGAACTGATTTTGACCAAAAGATTGACAATGCTTTAATGATGTTCAATCTTCTGGGAGCATCTTGGAAATTGAAATGAAAACAAAAGGACTTTTGCACTTTCTTATCATTACAAGTGCAATTTGCGGTTGGTTTATAGGAAATCCATTTAGTTTATCATACAATTGCTCTTTATTCAATTGACTAACGTGGGCTCCCCTTCTGATGAACTCAATGTTTAGTCTTCCCAAAAAAAAAAATGTTCTCTGGTTCAACTACTTCTATGTATGTTTGGCCTGTGTAAATGATGAGCTCATGGGTGATTGGTCAGATTGGTTGGGGTCTTGTATGACAAACTGTGATCTTAAATTCTTTGGAAGTTTATTCTACGCCATCACTTCTTGAATGAATTATCATTATCATCATAAAAATATGCTGACTATTTATGCCAATTACTCGGAACTTCACTCATTTTTGTATACATTGTTTCCTTTTGACAAAAACTTTCCTTGCCAGTGCATTTTACAAGAACATGGTACAGGTTGCAAAGCGTGTAACTTATAATCAGGCTGTTGGCATTTTTGGTTTCACTGGAGAAGATCATATTGGAAAAGTTAGTTTTCCACCAGTGCAGGTGAAGTTCTTCTCTACTCTTACTCTATGACGAAACTACGTTCTATATTTCTATGAGCAATTTTTTTCTTTTAAAAGAAGAATTTGGTTGCTGGGTGATTGAGCTTGTTCTATTGCACCCTTTCTTCCTGTGGTTGTCTTTTCAAGCCTCTGACAGGTTTCATTTAGCTGTAATTATCTTTGTGTTGCCTTTTGATCTTGTTGTTGGTATTCTTCATTTCAAGTTGTACACCTGCTAATTTTGATGCAAAAGTTTTTCCATATCAGCAAAATTTCTGCCACAATCTGATGTTTCTTACTTTCTCTTGAACACTGTACTTAATGTGTACAGGCATATATATGTGGATGTGTTTGTTGAGGCAGAAAATGTGGTCAAAAAGCAATTTTCATGCATCAGATTTATCCCTCATGTTAAAAAATGGAAAAGTTTGCTTTTCTAGATTCCTTATTGTTTGATCCTGCTGGAAATTTGGAAGTTTGTACATCATATGTGGAATTCATTTTGTAAGCTTCATTTCTTCATACAGGCTGTTCCGTCATTTCCCAGTTCATTTCCTCACCTTTTTTCAGGCAAAGAGAACCTCCGTTGCTTGATTCCTTGTGCAATAGATCAGGTTTGTTTGTCATACAGCATTTGGGTGCAAGTTATCAATTTTATTGCAAATTTAATTGTCTTATATTACACAATATGTTAATATCCATTAGATTTTACATTTTTCTCGTAAACTTCTTGTAATATTTATCATTATGTTACATTTATCTTATACAAGACAATATGAAAATGCAAACAAAAATCTGAAAAAGAATCTGTTACAACTTCAAACATTCAGCTTTTGTCTATGACTGTGTACCAAAGTATCATTTGAAGCCCCGTATATTGCTTAAATTGATGGTCAGCTTACATGAAATTATGGAGTTTGCTATTTACTAAAGTTGTCACTTGCATATGCAGCGAAATAGTTCAGTTCTTAAAATAGTTTAATTTTTTTCCCCTTTTGATAGACTTAATGTTCAAGACTAAGAGGTGTTGGTCATGTTTAAATTCAGGTTTGGCCTTACTAATGGAAATTAATCATTGAATGGATGAAAACATGTTCATGCTTGCCTTAATTTATGCCTAATAATAATAGAAATGCTCAATCTATTGCTAAATTGTTCACTAAATAGTAAATGCATTAAAGTACTAAATAGAATATTTGAAAAACAAAAGAGTGAAAGTTCATGAGAATATGAAGGGACCACACAAAATATAATAGGAATGGGTTTACATTAATTGGCCCCTGCTAATATGATAATCACAGTAGGCAATTATACTTATTAGTTTCAATGTTAAAACCTGCAAGACTTTCTTGAGTTTTAATACTTAACTCCTTCAAGCAGAGGTTTACATGGGCTTCAACTTTTGACCTTCTATTTTGATCTCTCTCTCTCTCTCTCTCTCTGTCTGAAGGCTATGATTGCACATTTCAAATTGTCTCCCATTCCATAATAGTTATTGATTTTGGCGTCTTCAGGATCCTTATTTTAGAATGACACGTGATGTTGCTCCTCGGATGGGATATCACAAGCCTGCCTTGATAGAATCGTCATTCTTCCCTGCCTTGCAGGTATTATTATGCAGTTAAGAAAGGATTCGTTCATCATTTTGGAAAGGAAAGGACCACTAATTTCGCTCATTATAAACAAATAGTTTTAGTTTGCCTATATGATTCTGCTGTTCTTGTGTACCAATTTACTCTTAGAATACTAGTCTAACATTGCATTGAGTTGTTGCTAAACCAATAATGCTGCTTGTGTACCAACTTGGCTGTATGTATAGTTAACCTAATTGTACCTTTAACCTTTTAGGTTGAGTATCTCGAAGAAAGTAAAGAAAATAGGTGAAATGAGTTGAAGAGACTGGATTTCGAGTGAATAGATGTTGGAAATCACCTGAGTTTTTTTTTTCTTTTTTTCTTTATTTTTCTCATAGTTTAATTCAAATTTGGATGCTTCCAGGGGGAGACCGGAAAAATGTCTGCTAGTGATCCCAATTCTGCAATATATGTGACCGATTCTGCCAAAGATATAAAAACTAAGGTTTGTTTTTGAATTTGCTCTGCCAACGGTTTACATGTTACCGATTTGATCAATTAGTATCATATTTTGCAGAATCTCCTTAGCAAATGATAAATTAGCTGCATCCTCCTTGCCTCATCCTCTCTTTCTCTTTTGGGGTGTCTGTTTAGGTTGTCATTCGTTGAATAAGGTTCTAATTAGCTACTCTATTTTCTGTGTATGTGCTAAATACTTTGGGTTTTCTATTCACTTTTTGAAAGCATTTAGGATAATTGCTCATTGACCGTAACAAAGCCTCCTCAACCAAGTTGTCAAGAATCCAATCCTTGTTACCCTTACACTTCATAACTGAATTAAATTTCAATTCTTCTTACGTTGGGGGCCATGATTTGTCCATGCTTCAAATCATAAACTTTCATGTGAGGTGGCATGGCTTACCCTATAAGGCTATAACAGCTTAAGATTTTGGAAATGTTAATTCCTCAATCATTGTATTTGCTAAGTAAGTGATTACCTATCATTCCATTTCTTTTTTGGTATAATTTGTTTTGTGTTAGTGGTTAATCTGATGATTTAATAGGACTGCCACCCTTCTTCGCTCTACTGCAGTTATCTCCTGATTCTCTGTCTGCACATAAACTCCTTAGTCCTTATTATTCTCCCTCCATTTCTATTAACTGTGACACATGGCTTTCTGCAGATAAACAAATATGCATTCTCTGGTGGACAAGACTCTATAGAGAAACATAGGCAACTAGGAGCGAATCTTGAGGCAAGCTTTTTTTCCCCCCTTCTTCTTCTTGCCTTTTTCTTCTAAAGAATAGTGTGCTTGTAGGGTTGAATATCATTGACTGTTGTGTGGACAAGGCTGCTCAAATTTAGCTTCCTTAAATTCCTACAAAGCAAATGTAATGGTTTCTGCAGTTCTAGCCCCATGCATGTTTTACACCTGGTCGCGCTATGTATGTGGTGTGGAAGTTAATTTAAGAACGCCAAGTTCTGCTAATTTCATTTACCAGCATATCAATTTCTTTTGAATTAGTTCCCCCACAATTGTCCAATCAATCTTTTTGCTTCTGTTATTTGCTTTTTACCAAGTATTTTATTGCTCAAGAATGTTGATAGCTTTCTAATTTTACAAATTCAGGTTGATATACCTATAAAATACCTCACTTTCTTCTTAGAGGATGATGCTGAGCTTGAACATGTGAAGAAGGTTAGATTTTTATTTTAATTGAAACAATGTAAATCCCAAAATCCTTAGTCCTTACTCCTTACTATTCGTGTTATAAGAACAAGTTCGTTTCTTCTTTGACTTTGTCATTCCTAGGAGTATGGAGCTGGACGCTTGCTAACTGGTGAGGTGAAGCAGCGCCTAATTGAAGTTTTGACTGAAATGGTAGAAAGACATCGTAGAGCTCGGGCCGCTGTGACTGAAGAGGTGAGCCTTTTCTACTTGTACAATTTTTTTTTTTTTGGGGTCTGCACTAGTTGACATTGGCGAAGGATTTATGTAATCTTGGTTTCTGGATTCTCCTAGTCCTAGAAATGGAATCAAGGGCTGATTTGTTCACGCTATTTTCATAAAAAACACTATTTTTTCTTTTTTTTTTTTGGGGGGGGGAACTATTTTGTTTTAGCTATTTATATTATTTTCAGTATGCCTGTCATGTTTTATTGTGTATAATTCACAGTGGTTAATTTGAACCTACCTGATACAGTAAGCACTGTAGATTCATGACTGAAGTTATTTATACTTTCCCCAGTCCTAATTATAGGGCAAAGTTAACTAATTTCAGGGTTCATGAGGAGTGGTAGTTGATATTTTAAACTTGTAGAAAAATGTGACTTGTCATTTTTATCTTTCACTAAAATTAATGATCATAATAAGGTGTTGTATAAAATTTAAAGCATCCCAACAACTTGTTGCAATTAAAGAGAAGTGAGGTTGGGGCAAAAAAAAAAAAAAAGAAAATTCAACTATCACATCTTTGTTCTATATTTAGGACTGAGTAGGTCTTTAAAATTGTCTGAGTAGGTCTTTAAAACTTTGTCGTGTAATGACGAGTGGAGGAAGTATTCTACATGGACTGTTTTGGTGTTGATAATATGATTTTCTGTCTTCTTGAATGTCGATGAAACTTTAATTGAAGCTTTTTGTCTGTTCGGTTGCTTACCATCTTCAGAAGATTTGCAGAGGCGATGCTTGTTTGGATTAATAACATGCAAAATTTACATCCTCATTTTTCTTTTCTTTTTTGTTTTTTTTTTTTGGGTAACATTTTTTCTTTCTTTGTTTTCCCCCCAGATGGTGGATGCATTTATGGCTGTAAGACCGCTCCCCCATATGTTTGACTGAAGTTCTTCTCATCTCACTAATTATTATCTGCCCGAGAATTGTTTGAAGATCGATGGCTGACTAGATTTAATAGGCTTTTGCATTTTAAAATAGAGTTCATGATATGTTCTTTATAAGAACTGTCTTCTAGAGAAGATTTGTTATTTTTGAAAGTTGTTTTTGTATCAGATTGATCATAATTTATTGTGAATGCGGATAAAGTGCAAAAGCATGTTGCAATGAATCTTCACTTGGGGAATGGCACAGCTGAAAAGTGGAAACGTTTTTGCCACTGAATGTATCGACAATTTGGATTCAGGATTACTTTTCTTCTTGAAGCACGATGCATTAAAAGGACAATTGTTTTGATGTGTAATTATATAATATTCAATGCAACTAAATTAAAGTTGCCAATAAATGTTATACCAGTTGGTGAGAATTTAATTAATAAATCACAAGATTATGAGTTCAGATCTCACTATTAATATAAAGACTTTATTGGTAAATGATCTGGACATGTTTTAAGTTTATAGGGCTGTTTAGAGCCTTAATAAGCTTTTGGAGTTTAACTTGTCTAAATTTATTTTGCAGAAAAAATTAAATTAAATTTAAATATTGTCAAGCTTAATTTGAAAGGTAATTTTTGACCTAATTTTTCTGTCCACATGGTTGGGTAAAAATGCAATCATATTAATAAAAGTAGAAATATTTACAGAGAGAGTTAAAGTCTGGTTAACAAAATAACAAGAAAAGATAGGAGGAGGTTTTAAAAAAAAAAAAAAGGACACTTTGAGACTGCCAAACATAATGCTCCAGTTTTGAAAGTTTTATAAAAGACAAAAGATGTTCTAATCAAGGAGATGATTAGGCGTAGAACTGAACAGGGCCCCTTTGTTGTGGAGAACATTCAAGTCCCCTAAGCTCAAGAAATCTCAGATGAGTACGAACAAAGTTTGAAATCTAGAGCGAAACTTCACAGAAGCAATAGGACAAGAAGAGCTAAGGAGGAGTAACGTCAGATCTACATATGAGCAGTTTGTCCATCTCTCTCCATTGATTGATAGAAAAATATCACAGCAAGTTCTTTTCCTCTTCTTGAAGAGATTGAGGCTAGTTCCCCAAAAAGGGAAATTAAATTGATACAACTCTGAGGCTAAGATATAGATTCTTCATTTCTGTGAGTTTTCCGTTATTTTCCCTTTAGTTCCCCAACTACATGCACTTGAGAGGAATTTGTACTATCAATGGAAAGCCTAGTTTCTATTGAACCAAATCATGTGAATTAGAAGATAAATGCATTACAGAATTCGAATTCGTATTTCCTGATTTTGATACAGAAATTTAGATACCCACATAATCCATGGAACAAGACCATAGTTAGAGATCTCTGGAGAGCAAATGGAGAAGAAGCCAAACCAAATGGCTCTAGAATAGGGACAATCACAAAAAATGTGATCTAGAGTCCTAAGAGTCACATTCAAAAACGCACTGGAGAGTAGAGTTGAGATTGTATTTTCATAGAATATCCCCAGTAGATAGAGCCTCATGAACTAGTTTCTAGATGAACAGGAGAGTCTTGTTTGGAAGATTAAGTTCCCATATGAAGGTCCAAATATCCTCTTTATATAGAGGATTGTTCTGAACTCCAGAAGAGGAGCAATTAAAACCATCGCTCACAGTATAAGAACTAGATCCTCATATTAAAACATCAGCCTGTTTTCTAAAAGAAAAGGGGATCTTTTAAGATCAACGTAGCATCTTCTCTATCATAAAGATTATAAATGAGATGGGAATTTCATTTGGCAGCTATCCATGGGATGGGATTATGGATAATTAAATCTTGGACCTTCGATATGTTTAGATCACAATCAAGATCTATGTTCCTCAGTTTCCACCAACTCTCATGAAAAGGAGAGATGGATTCTCCATTCCCAATATTTTAAGAAATATTTTTTTTTTGGCCAAAACAAGAAAGATGATTTTTAATTAAGTCAGAAGCTTTAAAAATGTCTTTTCGACAACCAAGATGCATTGTGGGGAATTTTGAAGAGAAGTCCCTTAGTGTTCTGAAAATATTTGAGACTAATTGTGTTGCTTGAAAGAGAATGATCTTCCGCTTTCAGAACTCTCCCAATTTGCTTAGCCAATAGAGCCAAGTTTTTTTTTTTTTTTAATTTTTACTTAAATCTGACAACGTAATATAAAATTATAATTTATTTGTAGTTTTTTTGGGACATAGCTTTTATTCTACGCATTTTATTTTATAATAAAATTAAAATTTATGTAAAAATAATCTCCTTTGCTACTTTTTTTTTTTTTGGATAGAAATGTCCTTTGCTATTTACTTGTGCTTATATTACATGCACGCACTTTCATATTCATAGTTTAATTTTTTTTAAAAAATTATTGTATTTTATTTATTGTGCCATACTCTAATAAATAATATACGGCATTTTTCATAAACCTTGCTTGGTTTAAAAAATAGGATAATAGAAACTTCCTCCATTGAAATATATAAGCATTTTTAATCAAATTTTGCCCCTCAATAAAAAGTTAATTTTTTTTAAATTAACACCATCTTTTTCATATTTATCCTTACTTAATAGAGTGTTTCAATTTAAAATAAATACTAAGTAATTTATTTATTATGGGTAATTTTGAAAAAAGCACATTAATTATAACTTGAAATACTAAAAATGCCTTACATTTTTTCATATCTAACCCCTCAAAAATGTCTTACATTTTTTAACGAAAAGAGTTTTTTATTCCTTTTGAAAAAAAAATTGATCGATTGAATTTTGATTGTAATTATTAAGATACTTACATAGATCATTTAAAGATATTATAATTAAAAAGATGTATAATTTTTTAAAAACATTAAAAGTTTTTTTTTTTTTAAGAATCGCACCAATATTATGATTTGAAGGGAGTAGTCTTGATTTTGTGACATGGGAAGGCATCGTTCTCTAATTTGGTTTCAAAACTTTTTGTTTGATTTCATTTTTCTTATAAGCTTAATTGTGCTAATTTTAAATTTGATGACTTCTTGTTTTTTTTTAACCAAATTATTTGATGGCATCATTTTTAGGGGTGAGGCATTTTTTTTATGGGGGGGAGTGTAAAATTTAACCCTAATTAGCTAAATTAAATGGGGTTAATTAAGTAGATTAATGTGGGTATATAGTTACAAAGAGCTAATAGATGTTATGAGTTGTGATTTCAGTTCTAGGATTGAGTTTGGAGAGAAGTTAGGTCACCTAAACATCAAAAAGTGAGAAAAACAAAGAAAAATGACTTTGTGCCATATGTCATGGCACGTGTATGGCACGAACAAAATTATGTAAAAATAGAGCTATGATATACGTAAAAAATAAAAATAAAAAAAAGATAGATGAAGGAAACATGAGAAGCACTATTAGGGCTTAGGATTTGGAACCATTGAGAGTGTTTTAAGGCTTCCAAACACTAAGGATAATATTTCTAAACTCTTTCCCTCTCTTCCTCTTGCATTTTCTTAATGTTGAGAGTTAGGGTTTGCTTGAGAAAGATAGTTCTTGATCCATAAAGGCTATAAGTCTGAACTCATTAACTTAAATAGAGTCAATGAGAGTTGTTTAGGTTATTTAAACTTACAGTTTATGGCATTGTGAGTTTAAATAGTTGTGGGGTAATAAACACCCAAAAATTACCATAAATAAGGTGGTTGGAGCAATGAGAAGCCATTAATGGCTGGTAGGAATTTCAATGAAGTTAATGTGAGTTAGAAAAAACTAATAAACCCTATGTGTATCCTAGTACATAAGGAGATTGAGTTTTGAGAGGTTGAAAGTGTTGGGTTGGATGTTGAAAATTATCCTCAAAAGGGTGTTGATGATTAATGTTATGATTAAATGTAAATATCACAATTTGGTACCATTCAAGCTTTGTGAAACTTTAGAAGTATGTATTTGAGGGGTAAACTTTTGACCTCTCAAAGGTTTAAAGTAACTGGAGAAAATCTTTTTTATGTTTTTTTTTTGGTGTATTGATTAATTTTCATAGTTTATACACTATAATGGAAACATGAAAAAATTATTTGAAATGCAAGTGTGGCATATAAAACTTGTAATCTCCCTCTAATAACAAGGAGAGTTTTGAAATAAACACATGTTAAGTGGAGTTTAATGATATGCGTGTAGTATGAAATTTGATGAATGTGTGAAATGTAGAGTTCCATGAGTATTTGTAAAGTGAAGTTCAATGATATGATGTTTTTATGAGTTTAATGAATGTATATATAGTAAGGAGTTCAATGATATAATGTGTTGTAGAGTTCGATGATATGTTATTACATGTTTATGTGATGAACATTTATATAATGTGAGTACGATGATGAAATTAAGCAAACCTGAATATTAAGCAATTTTGCATGCTATGACAAATTGTATTTTTATGCATTGCATAATCATATGAGGTGGAAGTTTGCCTAGAAATAGAAACAGTGAGTTTAAAATCCACATAATAAGACTACCATTGAAGCTTGATAGTTTGCCTGGATTTATTTATACTTATCGTCCTACTTGTTTGACGAGAAACTATCCCATTATTTAAAAAGAGACTTCAACCTACTTTAGTTTCCACTTGCTCAACAAGGAAACTGCTTTAGGAAGAACAACACCTATAGTGTGAGAATTGGGAAAAATTGTGATCCACAAGTGAGTTACGTAACCTTGACTGTGTAACTTTTCACGCGTGACTAGCCAGTGTAGTCTTATTACATGGACGATCTTAGTGTGTAACAATCTACAGTTTTATGTTAGAGGCATAAGAAGGATGAGGGAGGTGTAATCATTCATATTATGATAAAAGGGCACATGGTTGTCTGCATTGTGATCCTTATGATGAAAAACATGTAATTGGTCTTGTATTAATGTGGAATATTTGCTATCGTGTTGTCATTCCATGAATTTATGTTATTGATAATGAAAATTACAAATGTGTGTTTTGAACATGCTAAAAGGATATAAGTATAATAATGAATTTTCACTTACATCTAAATTAATTGATATGCATTAGTATAAATTAGATATATATTGGTTATTGAGAGATTATACTCATCCCTCTCTCTTTATATTATAAAAGGTAGCTCATTGGGACAAAAGTGAGGAAAACAGACTGAGGCTTATAATTTATATCCTAACTTGTAGGCCTCATTAAATTTGAGTACTTATGTGCATAATTTATTTTGATATTGCCAACTAAGACAATTTATGATTACTTACTTGTACTATGTGAATGTTAAGTTAAATTGTGCATTTTGGGCCCTAGGTGTGTGTGTGTGTTAATTGAGAAATCTAAAAATGGCCAAAATACTAGTACAAGTAAAAGGCAAGCAAATATGCAATTGTGTTAATTTGGTATGATGATTATGAATTGAGGCTTCCCCTTTTATTTTTTTTTAATTATAGGATTGAGCATTGAAAATTTATTAGATATGTTAATCATATGATATGGTGTATTGATCAGGTCCATTATAATCTATTGAGTGTGGTTTAATATGTAATTTGGGCTTTTGGCACTTGAATGAAATTAAGACACCCAAGTTGAGTTTGAATTTGTAAATAGGAGTGAGTTGAGAAATATGTGTCTAATTTTGACTGAAAAATAATTTGATTGTAAAAATAGTACCATTAGCTAGAGTTATGAGAAAGCTATTTGTAGACACTTACATCGCCTCAATCGGACATCGAATAGAGAAATGAGGTATGTCAAAAGTCTGCTCCAGTTGTTGTCAAATAGGCAGCAACAATGCTGTAAAAAATGTACATGTGCTGCAATGCATGGAATAGAGGTAAATGTGCTACAACACATGTACAACAAGCCATAACATGCTTTTGTTTTCTGCTGCATAGATTTTTTGTTTTCAACTTTATTGCAAATACTTTGACTTGTTTAAGATCTCATGTTTTCACATATATTTTCTACTCTAATTTTTGAATTAATGAAGAATATTGAAGTGTTTTAAAATTTAAAAACTTAGGATCCTATTTGTAAAACTTGCAAGCTTAGTATCCTTTCAGATTAGTCCCTTAACTACCTTAATGTTAAGGTTAAGTGAAGATTAGTAAGAGAAACCTTACAGGAGGTACTGTCAAACTTCGTCTACATTTGATCATGGATTGTGTAACCAATAGACAAAAGTGCAACATGATTAAATAGTTTATGTTCCAGTTTTCTCCCCTTCTAATCTTTTTTTTTTTTGTTTTACTTTTATCACTGCTATTACAAGGAATAAAAAAATCACCAATAGAAAAATAGATACTCCCTCCATTAAAAAATATAAGGCATTTTTTGAAAAATGAGATATTCAAAAATATAAGGCATTTTAGTCTTTTGGAGTGTAATCATTTTCTTTTTTTTAAAAGTGCCCCTATTAATAGTAACTTTATATTTATTATAAGGTGTTTAATAGGGTAAATATAAAAGATAGGGTTAGTTTGAAAGTAGATAATTACTTTTTTAAAGGGGTGAGTTTCAGTTAAAAATGTTTTATATTTTTAATGAAAGAAGTATAAAATACTCTATGTTGGAGAAACAAACGGCTCTAGCTTAAGCCCAAGAGCTAGAGGAGAACAACAAAGGGGCGTAGAATTGGAAAAGAGAAGAAGAAGTTGTTGACTAACCCCAAAACATCATTAAGCCATGAATTCATTGTCATATTAGGGTAAAAAAATTATTGTCATATTATTATTAAAAATAATAATAAAATCTCACCAAAATATATGAATAATAATTAAGTTTTTTGAGATGTTATAATTTTTTCAAAGTTCTTAGATACCTTTTTGATAATAATGATTTTAGGTTAAATGACTAAGTTGTCCCTTATTTAAAATAAAAAAAATAACAAGTTGATGTGATTGGAAGTTGTAATTTCTTGTAATTGACAAAATAAAATTTATAATTGCTTAAACAAAAATTATAACAAGTTATATTTAAAACTTGAATTTCAATGATAAAAGAAATTAAGTTAAATGGCAAATTTGTCTTAGAACTTTTGAATTAGTCCCTTGACTACCTTGATGTTAGAGTTAAGTGAAGATTAATAAAGAAGACCTTACAAGAGGTACTGTCAAACTTCATCTACATTTGGTCATGGATTGTGTAACCAATAGATGAGAGTGAGACCTGATTAAATAGTCTATGTTCTAGTTTTTCACACCATTCTAATCTTTTTTTGTTTGTTTGTTTTTACTTTTATCGTTGTTATGACAAGGAAAAAAAATTACCAATAAAAAATAGATATAAAATACTCCATGTTGGAGAAACGAATGGCTCTAACTTAAGCCCAAGGGCTAGAGGAGAACAACAAAGGGGCGTAGATTTGGAAAAGAGAAAAAGAAGTTGTTGTTGACTGACCCAAGAACGTATGGTAAAAAAAAATTATGTCATATTATTACTAAAAAAATGACAATAAAATTTCACTAAAATAGATAGATAATAATTAGGTTTTTTGTGATGTTATAATTTTTCTAAAGTTCTTAGATATCTTTTTGATAACAATAATTTTAGGTTAAATGACTAAGTTACCACTTATTTAGAATAAAAAAAATAACAGGTTGATATGACCGGAAGTTGTAATTTCACGTGATTGATAGAATAAAACTTGTGATTGCTTAAACAAATTGTAACAAATTATTTTTAAAATTTAAATTTCAATGATAAAAGAAATTAGGTTAATGAAAAATTTACCTTGAAACTTTTTCTTCAGGGGCACCTAATACGCTAAACTTTTTTTAGAGCATTTTTGCCCTAAACTTTTCAAAAGAGATCAGTTTTGCCCCACCGTTAAATATAAAAAAATATTGACCATTAAACTGAAATTTGACCAACGGTTAAATGACATATTTGTCTTGAAAATTTTCTCCAAGAGTGCTAGGTATCCTGAACTTTTGTTTAGAGCTTATTTGCCCTAGACATTTCAAAAGGAAAGCAAATTTGCTTTGCCGTCAGTATTGACTGCTACTTGACTTTAATTACCATTTGTAGCCACATGGCATTTTTAAAAAAAGTTTAAAGAAAATCTACCTAGGTAGCAAAAACACTTCCATTAATATCAATAGCAACAATAAGAACGACTCCATAAACAACAAGCAAAAACAATAACAAACAATTCCAAATCATTTGAACCCAACTATACTAAAAAATAATCAACTATCCATTGAGTCAATCCATATGAACTTCACCACATGGAAGCTCTCTTCTTCTACATTCAACAATTCCACTTTCTCACTTAATTATGACGACTCTGTGGACTCGACCTTAACTTAGATACATTTGAGGGCTTCATAGCATCAAACTTAACCACGGTGGTGGTGGTGAAAGCAACGGCTTGAATGTTATACGAGGAGCATGTGGTAAGTTAGGGAAAGATGACAGCAATTTAGGGGTAGTTAAGAATGGTGGATTCGCCTTTGATAGACAAAGCAACGATATTATGGGCTTGAGTAGTCATTTTAGGGGCAAAAGTGCCGAGCGAACACGATATTTCTTGTGAGGCTCGTGAATCTCGGACACTCATTTTTCTCAACTTTGCATTTAGACTCCAATCCATAGTAGTGCGAAGAGCTTGCTGACAGAAGAGGAAGAGAAGAAGAAGAAGAAGAAGAAGAAGAAGAAGAAGAAGAAGAAGAAGAAGGGAGGGCAGAATTGCTCTATTTTTAAATCTTTCATTACAAATAAGCTATAAATAAAAGTTCAGGATACCCGACACCCTTGAAGAAAAAACTTTCAAGGCAAATATGCTATTTAACTCTTGGTCAAACTTCAGTTTAACGATCAACATTTTTTATATTAATGGTGAGTCAAAAATACTCCTTTTTTGAAAAGTTTAAGGCAAATATGCTCTAAAAAAAGTTTAGAATACCAGACGCCCATAGAGAAAAAGTTGTAGGGTAAATTTACCATTTAACCTAAAGAAATTTCATGTAGGAAGTTATGATTTCTTATTTAATTCTTGTGATTCACGAAATAAAAGTTCTAATTGCTTAAGCAAAAGTCATGATTGGTTATTTTTAGAACTTGTAATTCAATGATAGAAGAAATTTCACATGTAAAGTTGTAATTTTTTGTTTAATTTTTGCAATTTTTAGAATTAAAGTTATGATTGCTTAAATAAAAGTCATGATTGATTATTTTTAAAACTTGGACTTCAATGATAAAACAAATTTTACGTGAAAAGTTGTGATTTCTTATTTAATTTTTGTAATTTACAAAATCAAAATTGTGATTGTTTAAATAAAAATTGTGATTGAGATTGATTATTTTCAGAACTTGTTTATCAATCATAAAAAAAATTTCACACGGGAAGTTGTGATTTCTTATTTAATTTGTACAATTTATAAAATAAAAATGTAATTATTTCAATAAAAGTTGCTATTAGGAAAATGAAGATATATCAAAAAGCCATTTAACCTAAAATCATTAATGTCAAAAAGTCACCCAAAGACTTCAGAGATGTTATTGGTTTTTTGAGAAACTTAATTATCATTTATATATTTTGGTCAAATTTTATTGTCACTTTCTCTTATTACTATTTCAAAGTCATTAAAAAATGCAATTTATTCTTTAATCTTTATGTAATATAAAAAGCTTTGGACCAAAAAACGAATGTAGAAGCTCACATCTAGTGTAACATAATACTAAATGACTTGTATTTTTAAAGAAAAATAAAAATAATGAATTGAGGAAAAACTGTAATATAAAATTTATTCATGTGAAATTTCTTGTATTTTGAATTAGAATTACATTATCTATCTATTTTTAATTATTTTTTGAAATAGATATAAGAATCAATTTATAAATTATAATTTTTTTTCACCCTAACATCTACCATCATGATCTTGTTTAAAATTTAAGTTGGTAAATTTAGTACTCTTACTCATATACCGATATTTTTGTACTAATTTTTTTAAAAAAATTAATTTAGTAATAATCTTGTTATAAAATTTTTAGTTGTCATTTATCTTTGTTTTTTTTAACCAAGTCGTGCTTGGTTGAACATGCAGTCTGAATTTCATAAATTGAGGGTACATTCATCGGATACCATACATGCTTATACAATGCAATGAACATTCAAAAAAAAAAAAAAAGGCCAAAAAAAGAGAATATTCTTTTTGTAAAATTCCAGTTAGGGTTTGTTTTCAAGCCTTACATAAATTGCGTTTACTTCAGTTTCTGTTCTCGCACCTCACTTCACTCACCTTTGGATTATAGAGAAGCAAAGCCGAGCAAAGCAGCGAAGACAGCAGAATGGAGCAAACCTTTATCATGATAAAGCCTGATGGTGTCCAGAGGGGCCTGGTATCTTCCTACTCTTTCGCTTTTGTGGTTTTGATTGATTGATGCGTGGGCCTTACGCATCTACCTACTGATTCTTGATTGCTGTTTCTAGAGAGATGCGATTTATGCGTAAGCTTGAAGATAATTTTCGGGATCTGGATTTTTTTGTAATAAGTACGGATGAATATTCTCCTTTAAGATATCCCACATGAAGGAACGAAATTACTCGTTTTCTCTGCTGACCCGATTAATTGTTGTATGAACTGAATTGTTGCTAATTGTTATATCCTGACGTATTTTATAAGCTTATGAAATGGGATTTTGCTCATTATTATGAATTCGCCTCTAGCTAAGCCATGATAATGGTAACTCAGTTTCTGCTAGTGAGAAATGATTCCATCCTTATGCTCGATTACTGTTGATTATATAAACTAATCAAGTTTAGGATCAATTTCAAGTAATTGTGAACTTAATAGTAATGTGTAACAGAGTGGTTTCTCAAAGGTTCTTATTTGTTTCAGATCGGTGAGATTATCAGCAGATTTGAGAAGAAGGGGTTCTCACTGAAAGGTAACCTTTAACGGCCAGGAGAACAGAACTCTTTGATGACTGTACTAATTTGTCGCCACAGTTTGTGGCTATAAAATTGCTTAACTTCTATCTTGGAGGCAGCTGTATCAATAAATCTGAAGTTCTCCAAAATGATCAATTTTTATTGAAGCGTCTAACAGTCAAGGTTTTATGACCATGTACCAGATTCATTACAATCGTGTTATTGTCCATCTAAAATTTTGGTTTGATGATAAACCATTCAAATTAAGTGTTTTAATCAATTTTATGTTATTGATTTTCAAGGGGGTAGTGGGAGACAGATTGTGGTCCTCTTTTTTATATCAAAAGCTGATGATTGTGTTTTTTGATTATGAGCTCAGGTTTGAAGCTAATTTCTGTAGACCGTCCTTTTGCTGAGAAGCACTATGAGGACTTGTCTGCAAAGCCCTTCTTTAATGGGTTGGTGGATTACATTATCTCTGGTCCAGTTGTTGCGATGGTTTGGGAGGGTAAGAATGTTGTGACAACTGGCCGGAAGATAATTGGAGCCACAAACCCGGCACAATCTGAGCCTGGAACTATCCGTGGGGACTATGCCATTGATATTGGCAGGTAATTGAATAATCTGTTGTCTCTTATCACTTGATTGAAATGATTCTGTTCTTGTTTTCCTATTTATCTTGGAAGGATTTGCAAATTGATTTGCTATAGCTGCTGCTTTTAACTTTGTTGCACCGCTGGAATGATTTTCTCTTTGCATTGCACAACAACAAAATGTACAATCATTTGATATACAAAAATGGAACAGAATGGATGGAATGAAAATTTTTAAAGCAATTTTGATGTTGAAAAATGACCTTGTGCTCCTACTTTTAAAAAACTTAAAAAAGGGTAATAAAAGGACAGAAATTGTTGAGTAATTGTTTCAAAATGCAAGAGATTCAGGGAATGAGAATCAACTCTATTCGCCATACCAAATGTAGTCTAATATACTTAATGTTATCATTTCTCAATGATAATTATTCCTTTTTATCATTTTACCCCGTAAACAGAGGGATATTTTTCATCTGCATTATCATTTCTCAATGATATTTCATTCTCATGTACCAAAAGGCCCTATAGTAACTTGTAACTTGGTCACTAACTGTAATACTAAAATTTAATTAAAAGAGAACTTGCTTTATGCTTGCAGTACGTTCTTGGGCAAATTGCTGATGAATTCATTAGGACAATATATTGCTAGGGATTTTTTTTTTCCTGATTATTGACTTCTTCATCGTTGGCATGCAATGTAAGCAAGTTACATTTTATGCAGGAATGTCATCCATGGAAGTGATTCTGTTGAAAGCGCAAGGAAGGAAATTGCATTGTGGTTTCCAGAGGGCCCTGTTGCTTGGCAAAGCAGCGTCCACAACTGGATCTACGAGTGAAGTATGTTTGCTGCTGCTGCTGCTTCTGCTGCAATGACATCGCACATTGCTCTTCTGATCCACTGTTGCCCACTTGTCATTTTCTTGTCTCTTTCAACAGTCGAACATATTTACATGCAGTTCTCAAATTAATTTTGGTCAGTGTGTTGTATGCTTATTGAAGGCCCATTTGGGATTCAAAGTGATGAGTTAAGTGAAATCTATTTTTGTGGTTTGATAATTTAGTAATTTCACCTGGAGTGACAAGTCAGTTCAAATATTAACTGCACAACTAAATCGTCTGGTTACTTGGCACTGATAATTAATTGTTTGCAGAGGTTTTTCAAGGGATGGAACAATAATGTAGAACCGTGTATCTTGAAGGGAATGTTGATGAAGACGACGATGACCAACAGAAGCAGCGGCTATTATAGCAATTGTCATGGTGATGGTGATAAGAAGTCGATAATTGCGGTAAGGGTGTTAATAGTGGAGCACCCAGGTTTTTGAAGTTTTAAGTCAATTTTATTGGAGGATATTTTCACACCATTATAAGGCCATGGCTAAGAGAGACACAAAACACAATCAAGCCATATTAACAATCAAAATATATATACACAGCTAACTTTCGTATGGCTTGTTTCGAAAACAAGCCCAATCAGTAGGCCTGTCAACTCCTATAAACATGTTATCAAAAGTAACAGAGGTAGTACGTGATGAAATCTCTCGTCATTTTTGTTTTCTCCGCTCTCAGTAGCCAAGGTCTTTGATCTAGATTAATTTGCTCAGCTTGCTGGTATTTCTTTGAGAGATATACCTTTCAAGAATTTAATCATTACTACGTACCATGACTTGAACTCAGTGGCAAAGCCATGATTTTAAGGTTGGAGAAAAATTCATTTACATATTAATAATTGAAAATAAATAATTATATAAAAAATATTTTACAAATGGTAATTTAAAAATTAATCATTTCATCTATGTAGTTTTAACTTAATTGTAATTTATCTCTTGAACTTTGATTCAATGTAGTTTGGTACTTATAGTTTTGTTTGGTTGTAATTTAATTTTTAAATTTTAACTTTTATAATTTAGTCCCTATAATTTTAATCATTTAAAGTATTGATCCTTATATTTTAAAAATAAAATTATAAACATTAAAATTATTTTAAAATTTTAATCTTTATAATTTTTTTAAAGATTAAAAGGGTCTAGTAATATAAAATATTAGCCTTAAATTTTAATGTAATTTTAATTTTTATAATTTTATTTTTTTAAAATATATTGACCAATATTTTAAACGATTAAAATTATAGGGATGGAGTTGTAAGAGTTAAAATTTAAAAATTGAGTTATAATTAAATTAAAATTATAAAAATCAAATTATTAATTAAAGTTTAAGAATTGAATTACGAATGAGTCAAAACTATAATAATCAAATGATTAATTTTTTTTTATAAATGATAATTTTTGTATTTGGGTATGGTGAAATTGTCGGCTAAAATTTACTGGATTTTGAATTAAAAAATTTTAATTTTGGATATGGGTTAAAAAGTAACATGAAATAGGTTTAAAATTTAAAATATTAAAACATGAGGCGTAAAATATAAAAATTAGAGGGTACAAAATATGAAAACTATACTCTTGTACATTAATTTTTTTCAAGTGAGAGGGGCCAGCTTGAACTCGAGACCTTTAATTAAGATGGTGAAAGCCAGATGATCCATATGTCGATAAAATATTTGATCTTTCGGCAGTCATTATAGAACACCAACAACATAATCACATCCTTGAGTTTAGTAGGGCTTCAAGTCCATGAGATGCTGTAAAGCTCAACAATAGCGTTTGGTGGGAGTAGTTGTTTTCTGGTAAAAGTAAAAACTTGATCTAGTAGTTGTTATCACGAATCATACCTTCACCAGTATTTCTATGTTAGGTGAGAGCCATCTTGATTTGCCTCTCTTTACTTAGTCTGTAGGGGTGGGGTGAAGCTAGAGTTTGGTATTAAGAGGGCTTAAAAAATGTATGACACCTTTGTAATGCTAAGAAAATACTTGAAAACTTGAGCACCACAGCTCTTGGTCTTACTGGTTCTTGGTCCCCCCTCACTCGGCCACTATCTAAGACATTTGTCATTGCATCCAATTCAAGATCATCAAGGCCTCTCTGAGTATAGATGAAGGCAATGTCAGTATCATGATTGTTATTGGAATATAATTTGCTGCATCTAGCTTTTCATATGGATTTGCTAACATGTGCAAAAAGACATTGCCATGGCATTCTTGTATTTGTGCTCCCTACTTGTCTAGCTTAATAAAACTTGCAAGGGTAAGGAAAAGAAATTACTTAGTTTATACTTAACCAATTTAATAAAACTTGTCTAGCTTTTGTATAATCGTGAATTATATGGAGAAGACTCAAGAGAGTTGTGACTCAAAAGGACAAATCCTTTGACCTTCACAAGTTCCTTCATTTCTAATGGTATTAGCTTGAAGCCAGTGACAGACCAGAAAAATTTACTAATGGGGAAATATTTATATCTAATATAAATATTAATATATTTTTTTAAAAATGTAATTCTAAATATTAATTAAAATGATATATAAATAAATTATATGAGAAGTTTAAAAATATATCTCAATTTTATTTATATCATAAATTTATTTTTATAATAAATACAAGAGTAAACAATAATTTTAAAAATATATGCTTGATAATTATATAGAAAATGTGAGACAATTGATTTTTTACAGGGGCAATTGCAATTTTAAACAGGGGGCAAGTGTAATTTTGATAAAAAAGGGTAATTTTTACAAATTTCATTATATAATGTGGGTGTTAATTATCTCCTTGCATGATTTTTTTGTAGCCTAATATTCCAAAATCAAAAACTTGGAGCCACTTCATGCTACTTTTCAAATGAAATATTTTTTTTATTCTCCTCAGTCATTTTCAAATCTTATCCCAAACCAACAAGGTAGCACTTTTAGCCAATATCTTTACAGGTTACTTTAATACAGAAACCTCCATCATTTCTAGGGTTGAACCATGATGATTTGCTTACTATACAATGTAGAAGAGATAATGATTTATTTTGTTGATATTCCACTTACCTGTTATTGATCTGATAGCCATGATCCTTTGATGTAGAATTGCATTGATGTTAGATCCATACTAATCCATTTTCAAATATAAGAAAAAGTACTCCATGTTTCTTTGTTTCTATTATAAGTAAAATTATAAATTTTAAGAAATATTAATTACACTTTTTTTCAAATTATCACTTATAAATAGATACTTCATCCATTAAAAAAATATAAAGTATTTTTAATCGAATCTCATCCCAATAAAGTAATTATTTGTCTTCAAACTAATATTTTTTTCATATTTACCCCTATTTAATAAGAAGTTTCACCCTAAATTAAATATAAAGTGATTTATTCAATAGGAAAACTTTTGAAGAAAATGCAATAATTAAATCTGGAAAGACTAAAAATACTTTACATTTTTTAAAATTTAAACTTTCAAAAAATACCTTATATTTTTTAATGAAAGAAGTAGTATCATTAAATTAGAAGGAAAAAATAAACATTAATTGTAAAATTGTTTTAGTTTAAATATTTCAATTTTAGACACTTATTATGATCAACTAATTTTTTTAAATTGTGTAAGTTAATTGAAATTTTTCTATATTTGAAGATAAAGAAAGTACATAACCAGAGGTTTAAGGGGTGGGGTCCATTTGTAAAATCAGAATGATATTTTGTCTCCCTGCACCACTTTTCATCTCATATTTTCCATGAATTTGTCCTGAGCCTTTAAATGTGTTATGTCATGTTTACGAAGATGATATCGCTTGTAAAACAAAGGGATAACATAGTTTTGGCATTTAGGTTTCTTTGTTATTAACTTTAACCCCCAACAGAGTTTGATTAATGAACTCAAGATTTTGACTCGAGATTATTCACATGCTAATAATTATGTCCAAAATATCCTTATAATTAATGTTTGTTTTTTTTTTGTTATAATTTAATGATACTATCTATTTATAAAAGGCAGTTTGAGAAAAATGTAACTAATGCTTCTTAAAATTTATAGTTTTACTCACAATAAAAAACAAAGAAACATGGGGTAATTTCTCTTATATTTAAAAAATGGAGAGTATATTTTATTGGAAGCTTTTTGTTTTTCATTTTGATCCATCACTATCATTTTACCAAGTCTTTAATATTATTGGCTAATTGAAGTTTGAATTTTGTAAAATCTAAATAAGAATATCTCTTTTAATATAATTTTATTTTCATATATAAGATTCAAATTATTTAACCCTCTTTACGTGGTATGAAGCTTTTTAAGTTTCTTCACTGGACCTAACCATAGTTGATAAAACCGCCTTTTAAAATTTACTTGCAATATTTTCCCAAAAATTGACGAGTCCTACAGACCTATAAAGTTGCACAAATCTATAAGAATTAAGGATTAATGTGCAATTTTATTTTTAAACTATTTTTAAAAGAGCAATGTTATCCCTAATTTATTTATCGTAATAATATTATCCATAAACTAATCAAATTAGAGCAATATTACTCTCATTAAATTAAAACAAACATCCATTATTTTTTAAAAATAAGGCTTCATGTGCATTTTTTCAAATAACACTCTTTCTCTTATACATTCTTTTGAGAAAAATTACACATCAAGCTCCACTTTTTTTAAAAGTAACGGCCATTTGTTTTAATAAATGGTGAGGATGGATGAAATTATTTAAATTTAATTAATTAAGGTTTAAAATGTATCAAATATGAGTTTATAATTCAAATTGCCTCTAGACCTATAATGCAAGGACTAAATTACATATTAACTCAACCCTTAGATAGATTGCACTTTTCTCCTTTCGTGAAGAATACATCCAACAAATTTTATATACATATATATATTGATAATGATTTATTGTCATAAAGATCCTAGCATCTGGCCCCAAGACTGAATTCTCTGCAAATCTTGACGAAGGTTAACAACACAGAACATACACACAAAACTCTTCCCTCTGCAATGTAAGTAGAAATTGGGGAAATTAAACATTCACTGCCATTGGATCATGACCGTGATATTTTAAAGCAAAATATCTCTATAAAATGAGAAAGAAACCAACACAAGACATTCCCTCCAACCCTCTTTATAGCTCACTTCCAACATGTTTAATTATAATTAAAGAAAACCCTTAACCTTATTAACTATATTTAAAAATTTAACAAATTTTCAACTCTACTCTTATTAAATATACATAATTTAAAAGTAAAATACTCTAACATTTAATAATTTTTTCAACATTTAACTAGGGCAAAAGGATAAAAATAAATACAATTATCATTAAGGTGCTCTATAAATAGGATTAAAACAAATACTCTCCCTCTTTGTGTTCTGAATAAAACCAGCGGAGTATATATATAATTCTTTTCTCTCTCCATATATCTGGTACTTCAGAAATACTTTAAACTTCAAATGATCTTATAAGAGAAATAATCAAAGGACAGTCCAATATGACGAATAGATGTATTGTGTCTGCTATCTTGCTTCATTGACACTGCTAACCATCATGAAATAGATTTGAATGTTCATGTCTAACGATCAATATCACAACCATCTAAGCAGAACAATGATATGTTTATAGATATCAGAGGAGCAGAAAGTGGAAAGGCTTATGCTACAATCATTATGCCAAACCACACCACCCAAAAAAGGAAAAGGAAAAGAAAAGAAAAGGACATAAGATGAAAAATGTGCAGGAATTTTCCTTTTAACTCAAATAAGCAGTGTTTTTATTCCTTGACAAACGAGACCAGATATAAATGCAAAGTAGAAGCCTATTATACAATATTGCTCCAAGCTGCATTCGCCCATTAATGAAACTCAGAAAAATACATACTGAGAAACCAGAATTCATTTCTCCCTAAAATTCTTTTTGTTACCAAACAAACCTTCATTTCATGCTCTGGCAGTCGTGTCTGATAAAATATCATCCTCCAACTAGATCCAGCTTATGCGACATCTAAAATCTTGATGACATCGTTCTTAGGTTGGCCCAGTCATATTTTGAGCTCAGTTTAGGTGAAAATTCAGGTTAAATGCCAAATTGGCTGGAAGAAAAATTATAATGAGTATTACATGATGTACAAAGACCTTTAAGCTGCAGCTTGTAGACATGGATTGATGTCTATCACGTGAGAAGTTTGTATGAGGGCAAATCTTCGAGCCGTGTCAAGTCTTCCGCCAGAAGCTCTTTCTCCAGCTGACGCCGTGTAGCTTTCATTACTGCCTGTTAGAAAATGAAGTCTTAGGTGCAAATTAGATAACACAGAAACTAGAGTAAAACATGATACACTTTTAGGATGCATGACCTTTTTGAGCTCTAACTTACCCCGTGGCCTTATATTCAAAAAAAAAAAAACCACCAAACAAACAAGAGAAAAAAAAAAAAACTAGAACTAAGAGATATGAAGCAACTGAGGGACAAGTAACAGGTGTTGCATCTCCCAGAAAACCTCTTAATTGATATTATTTCACCCTAATAATTACTACATGAAGAAAATAAACTGCTAGTTTTCTAGTTAACTATAAATTTCCCACACGAGACCCATACATGATTCAGGCTAGAGAATACATACATTAAAATCCATGTAAGACGCTCGCATAGTAAGCCATTGATGATCCATCAACTTGAATGTTATGCAATAAAGAAGATCGAAAGCTGATTCATTTTCTGTCAAGAAAAAATGAACAATTAGTTACTTCAAAAGCTAGTTAATTAGATATATCATTTGAACAATAAGAACAGCAGCTCTGAAGTAAAAATCCACATTAATTTTTTTTATTTATTCCCCACATTATTGAATTGTTAACCTCAGAGCTTCATATACTATGATCTTTGATCTGTAAACCTAATTTCCTTCCAAAAGGAGAGCCAAAACAGAATTAGAGATTAAAAATACCTGCAAGAAACTTCAAAAACATGGCTCCCACCATTGTCCGTGGCTTGACTGCAAAGGCAAGGCGAATTGTTTAGGGATAACATGATGATCGAATTCAATACATTGCTTTGGGTAGAAAATCTACATGCAACAGGAAGCATGAAGTACCATCCATTTAATTTCACTCATAGAAACAAAAGTTCAATTGAAAATCAACAAAAAGCCATTTTCAAACAAGGCATAGGTTTCAGCATCTGATGTTTGGTACATCTACAGCTATAAGCCTTTGATTTAAGAGACATCATAGCTATACGAATTCAAGTGGCAAGGATAGAGTTGGGGGGCGTGGTTAGTGGTCAAAGGTTCAGACTCATTAATGTAACAAAAAATTTTCAAAAAAAAAAAAGGAAAGAAAGGAAAAAGGGAACAATATCGTCAGTTATATAAATGATTATGACAACAGCCTTTTGTATTATCATTGTCAAAAACTTTCCTCTGATCCAAGCCAAAAATACATGGTGTAAAACATAAGCATCTTAATCTATAACTTTTCAGGCCATTGATGAAAGACAAAGATTTGAACTTTGCACACATAAGTAATTTCAGCTTGATGTACTATGAAACTCGCCCACAATTATCCAGAAAAAAAGTGTCAATACATCAAGGAAGTAAAGGGGCAAAAAGGCACACCTAAGGCAGAGGGAAGGAGACAGAAATGCCATTGCCTCTTGATGTTTGCTAAAAGGGGCAAAAATGAACTCCTAAGATGATGAGGCAAGGAGACAGAATTGACCCCACCTCCTGAGTCTTGCTTTTCAGACCCATTCAGTCAGGCACTCACCTTGCTGCCTTTATGCACCTTTAGGTAGTAACAGAGATAAAGTGGTCGATACTAGAGGTGCTCAAAGGTTTAATTTGGTTTTGTACCAAAAACAAACCAAATTGAGAAAATATATTTTGTAGAATGGATGGCTTATTTGGTTTCTCAGGGTTGTAGCCCACAAGGTTTGGTTTGAGCCTTTTTCCCCCCTATACCTCATATGGATCATATCAAGGCTTAATTTTTCCATTTGTCTCACCCAATCCCAAATTAATTTTTTTATTTTCATTTGCACAGCTTTTTACTCTCAGCATGAGCTGTGGGGCTGTTTTTCTTTCACTAACAATCGGCTTCTTAACTCTTTTCTTTTAAAGAAATTAAAGGCCAGCACATCTTTCTTGACACTTTATTTAAATCATTATAAATATTGAACTGTTTATGCAAATATTATGCCTTTCTTGAGATATCATGAGATACAACCCGACTTTATAATGTTAGTTTATGTAAATATAGTTAATTTACATGAGATAACAGGTTAGTAGTTAAAATTTGATCACTTTATATAACCCGACTTTCTTGAGACATGATGAATACTTAAAATTAGCACCAACAAATTATAATAACAAAAGTCAAGAACCTGCTTCAAGATCAAGCATTTGAATAAGCATGAATGTGATATTCACACCAGCAACAGCAAATGGGTATTCCCAAACTGAACGATCTCCTTCCTGCTTCCTCAAAAGGTCCTGAAAGGATTTCTATGAAATGAAAAGTTTAAGTTTTGTGATGAAGACTACAGAGATCCATAAAAGAGGAAACTAATACGCCTTATATACTTAAATGAAAAGTTTATTGACTGAAGCAACAACAAATTGAAATTCAACGCCCTTGGGATAAGACATGATAAATAGACAAAGATTTACCAAGATGGGAGTACGGGTCACACACAGATAAATGACATGTATAAAGCTAAACCCTAAAAGACTACAAGCATACATCTGATACATATCGAGCCCTAAAAGGAAATAAGAACAACTTTTTGCATATACAAAACATAGCATTTTCTGCACCAATAGAGCCAAATATAAACAATGGAAACAAGGGTTTTAGGGGGAAAAAAGAGAGATAATGAAACCTAATCCTTTAAGTTTGTCACACTTATCGATTTGGTTTCCTCTAATTTAATTTTTATCAATCTATTCCCTTATATTTTTCTTAAGTTATCACATTAGTTTTTAAGGTTTTGAAACACAAATTGGCTCTCAAATTATTTGATTTGTTAAGTATGTTGATGATTTGACATGAATATGCGACTAAATGAAAACAAATCAACTTTGTTTTTATATTTTCTCTTTTTCCCCTTATTTTCTTGTTCTCCTTAATTTCCCATATTTTCTTATACACTGCATTACATTCTTTTGCTTTTTAAAATCTTTAAGCCTTTTTTTATTTATTTTCCTGCTAAATAATTGCATTTCTTTTCATTAATCTGCATGGTTACCAATTCAATGTTCCATTATCCATATCAATAGATTTTAACAGTGTTAACTCCTCTTCAAACAATAAGGACTAAATCCATAAATAAAGCAAGCTCATGGGATCAAATCAATAAAAATTAGATTTGAGACTAAATCAATAGTTGAGACAAACTTAAAGGGTTAAAAGTTTCATTACTCCAAAAAAAGTACATTTTAATGTCATTTACTTTCATAAGGTCCAAAGAGAAAAATACATTAAATAATTGAAGATATGTTCATCACACCAAGTGCATGCAAACAAAACCAAATGAGTTTTTCTCTTTTTAAGTCAACTGGACCAACAAAACCCAATATTTTGAAAATTCAGTAAAACAGTAATCTGATACATTAATTATCCTTTCAAACACAACTAAAACAATATCAAAACTCATATGACATCCAATGATTTAATGGCCTCAGATTCTAAAAGTTACATGAACATTGATTATGAAGAAAGTTTTAGCTGCTAATTAAATGGCATAATATTATCGTGGTCTTGGAACCCATGCAATTTGACAGATCATTTTACAAAACAAGATCGTGCGATCATCAAAATAAAATCATACTTATTTATAGTGACTCAAATTGCTGGAACGTCTTTACCAAACATAAAGATAAGGTCTGGAAAAGGAACAAATTAAAAATATATTGATATGGCAATGTAGAAAAGTCCAAATGCGAAAAAACTTCTTCAGATCAATAATGTAAAAGTCTGGATCCACTGACTAATTATTTTCTTTATCTATAGCAGGCAGCAAATAGATTTGATCAAATTGGCAATCCCTTAATCCCAATAGACTACATAAATTAAGAGGGAAAGAGAGAAATGAGAGGAAAATCAACCTTCAAGTTAACAAAAATAGGTTGCCGATAACACCAGTACCCCTTCATCTTCTATTAAATTACAAAAGTCATTTATACTTTTATAAATGAAAAATAGTTCCTCGTGGAAGACTAACAATATAATTAAATGGTTATTTGCTAAATTCATCAGAGCTTCAATAATTCAGATAAATTGCTGTTCATGATGACAGGTTTGCACTCTAGACATTAATTTTTACTAACTGAAACCAACCCAAGCCACTAAAATTTTCATTCAAAGATCAGAAAGGGGTAAATAAAGAAGGAAGAGATCATACTGGAAAATTTCTGGCAAAGAACAGCAAATTCTCCAATGATATAAAACCACCACCCCTGACAAATAATTTCACACAAAAACCAAGAGCAACATGGATTTAGATTTTAGACCATGAAGAGATCAGGCAGTTAATAGAAATCAAGCAGGACATTGTCTACCTAAAATCTGTTGACGGATCTTTTCCTTGCCAACCCATTTCTTTCCACTGTTCAGATATCAGACCATGGAGTTCTTCTTCAGGAAAGGCAGCATTCCATAAAGCCCTTAGGGCTTCCTAAAACACAACAGCAATGTACATTACAGCCATAAATCAAAGGAAAAAATGTATATATGGTGTAAGCAAGGATGAAAATAATTTTTGCCAAAAATATTAATAGAAAGGATACCTGGTGCTCAGGTACAGAGCCATCATAGGGAATATCTATACGGTTCTGCAGCTTCTGCAGGCACTCCTCCTGAGAGATCAAGATTCAACATTATAAATATATGTTGTGGCATATTTATAACTAACAATATTTGATGAAATAAAGCAGTAGCATGCGAGTACATTATGGTATAACACCCAAAGGCAATGTGTCTTACACCCTATTTAAAAGTTAGGCATTTTTAACACAAGTAATAAGGGCTGAAACAATTTAAAAAGGAAAAAGTGATAAATACAACATAAAAGGATATTTTTCATATAAATAATTTCAGTCAGCAAAAATAAAGGTATGAATATTAAGAGCTGCAAGCCACGAGAGGACGACATAATAGCCTAAACACTAAATGGCAACTTTGGTGCAGATAGATCTATATGATCATTTTGTCAGATAATTTAAGTTCAGACATGGTAAACATTTCATTTTCTTTGTCCACACAATTGTTATGGAACTGGAAAGTGGAAAGTCCATCCCCGCTGTTTGATGTATCGCAAATGGGATTTTAAATGGGAACTCCCTTCCCATATATTAAGAGATTGAATAGCTTTTTTACACTTATGAGTGCCCTAGATAGGCACACTGTTTTATTAAACTTTTTACTGTTTAGGAGGATAACTTACTATCCTTTCTCATTAGATTCTCTTTTTCCTCTTTTTCTCTAATTTTCCTTTTCTTTCATCAAGAAACTTTATGGCACACAAATTGATAGTTCAGTAGCTAAACCACAAAAATACTACCTGAGCTGGAGTCAAATCAAAAGAGGGCCGAGCATCATCGCTCTCTCTCCTCTGTGCACAAACACAGGATAAACCTCTGCCAAGCCACGCTGCTGATCCTGCCACAGCCTCAGCTGTAACAATACAAAACTGCCCGTAAATGAAGACTGAGCTTCCAAGTTTTGTGGTAAAAAATACGAAACAAGTTGACACCATGTATGTTTATGTTTCAAAAAGTAATTAATCATCCTCTGTACATGATGCTAAGTTTGGTTTTTTTTCTTTCTTTTCCGCCAGAGATGGTAAGTTTGTTTTGAAACATGAGATCTGAACCATCCAGCTAAAGCTAACCACAAAAGACAAAAATGTTGCAGGTGATAACTCCAATTTGACTGCAAGGATTGTGCATTTTCTTGCCATAAGTGATAAGTGACTTGACAAAACAAAAGATATTAGAAGTAAAAGGTCTAAAAGTGGATTTAGTTTTGCCATTAGCCTGATCCAGCTTGATCCCTGATGGGCATAAGAAAATTAGTTCCCACCTCCCAGCAAATTAAACAAACTCCAAAGAAATGTCTAACACATGCTTTTCAAGAATTTAATCCCAGCAGATTAAGGCATTTACTTGGGTGTTAGGGGATTTAGATTAACATTCCATTCCATCCTCAAACTAAGAGGCAAACATACCAGAACTACTCTGAACCCACACACAGCAGACTTTGTCACCAAAACATCATGAACCACACAACTTTAAAGCATCCCCAGACAGGACAAGTAACCACTGGCATGCTTTGTTCAAAGTTTCCACTTCTCACGCACTTAATCTATACTCTGCTTCACACTTTGCTACATGGCCCCAGAAAGATAAGTGTAGGTCCATTTGACAATGAAATAATAGAGGCGCGTGTCATGAAAGATAGATATACAGAGATAACGACTACATAGCTGGCAGTATAATATGAGCATACAAAACGGCTGTAATTCTGAAAAATACGGAAAATAATTAAACGTGGGAGCCACAAAGTAGAATCTTCTGTGGTGAAAACAGTTCGACAGAAAATTTGATATTCCTATCGATCAAACGGGAGACAGGGAGACTTCATGAGTCTGGGAGAGGATGCGGTAAAGAAAGATTCCGTGTGCTTATCAATTACGCAAGACAAAAGTCCTATTGAAGTTTTAGAAGTTATTTGAACCAAATTACACAGAAGAATGATAGAACTAAAACGAGTTAGTGTCTGAATTCACCCACCAATGCAATTTAGGATACCATCAAGCATCCTGCAAGTGAAAAACTTGAGTTATGATCAAATTACTTGAACATGGTTTGATCTCGACTCAGGGATCTGTACTTCACAAAATTGGGTGACAAATACACACATGCACAAACAAAGAGAGAGAGGGGGAGAGAGAAGGGTAGAGAGAGAAATTGAAAAACAAAAAGTAGGAAGCTTCTGTGAAAGTACAAAAAGCGAATCAAACCCTTAGGAAATAAAAAGCCGCAAATTAAAAATTTCTAAATTGATTTTATGAGAATTTAAAGCATTTACCAGAAGTTGAATGGCAGGTATTGCCCCTGTCAAGACCCTGCGAGATCCTCCTGACAGCAACGAATGAGTCGCCTCTATCATCCATACCCTCCTATTCCCTCTTCTACAACAACCACATCATCACCATTCGAGAAGTTCTCACTTTCCCAGAAAATCCAATCCTCAATTCTCCAAACAAACTGTAAATGCCAATAAATGAAACGTACAAGATCAAACTCCAAAAAACCTTCCCAAAAAACTCGCCAAACCTCCTAAACCTCAGTGGTAACAATCAAGTGATCAGCCTCGAATGTGGAAAAATCAATACCAAACTGGCCCAAAAACGGGCAAGAATCAGTTCAGCAACTATGCCAGTTCAGATTTTCCCGGAAAAAGGCGGTAAAAAAAAGAACTAACCGAGGAAGAATGAAGCCGAAACCGAACGAAAATGAACAAATTTACATGAAAATGAAGATGAGGAAGATTGGGGAACGATGTGAAGCGAGAAAGATAAAGAATCTTGAAGGGAGGGTAAGGAATGTAGGTGAGAAAATGGGTATTAGTTTTGCAAGATCTGAGAGAAGAAGCAGAAGTCGTCCATGATAGTCAGTGACACAAGAATATGGATATCTATTCTCTCTCTCGCCCCACTAACTCTAAGGCCTAACTTTGTGAGTGCGCTTGGTCATGGCGTTGGCTTTTTGTTCAGAGAAAAAGAGAGTGGATTAATGGGATCTTTCAGAAAGCTATATTTTCTCTCATTTTTGTGGTTAGACATACAATTGTTAGTAGGTGAAGGCAGAAAGCTTTGCCGGGGACTTTCACAAAAATGAAAAATTGCAGTGATTTATTTATTTAATTATTGCAAAAGTGCACTCTTAGTATTTCAACCTTTCCAAATTCATCCCTAACTAGCATTTAAGCCCTCCGGGTCAAAATAATTGACAGAGTTAAGCAATAAGAAAGTGTGGTGAAAGGGGATAAAATGTCTTGGACGTAAAAGTTTGTCTTTTAAATTAAACAGACTCAAGACGAAAATAACTGTTGAAATAATATATGTATGGGATCCACCAAAATTAATGAGGAAATTACTGTTGAAACAACTGTTCATCCACGACAAATTTGACAGATTTTACAATATATATTGATGATTATATAAAGTGTTTTTGTAATAAAAAAAATTTTTTTAAAATTTTTTATGTGACTATTTGATTAATCATTGTGGTCCCATTTGAAAATATCTTTCCAAAAATGTTTTATGCATTTAAACAGACTCAAATCCGAAACTTTATGTTTAAATAATTATAATCTCTTCTACTAAGACTCATGCTTATTGATTTAAGTTTTTAATATTAACCACGTTAATTTTATTAACAAAAATGTTGAAATTATAATTTTAAATATTAGGCTAATGCATCTGAGATCTTAAACTCTTTTTTTCCCACTTTCAACTTTTTTTAACCATTAATTTTAACCCAACCCTTATTATTAACTAAAATTAATTTTAACCATTAATTGACAAAAATTTTCTTAGTCCCTTTCTATAATTTTGGGCCTTCTTTGTAATTTTTGGATCCTTTGCTTTAATTTAAAAAATTTTTCTATCATTTTACAGTCAACTAATAATCAAACTTAACTTTTGTTAGTGATTGGTATGAGTTAAATTGCAATGTTCAAAGATTGATTGGGAATATTGCACCAAGTTTAGAATCTCATATATCAATGAACATGCAATTTAGAGGTCAATTTACTCTTTTATCCTAAATATTAACAAATAATTTTAAATGATGATAGTTTAATTTAATCATTTTTTTAAATTTTAAGCCAATATGTCAACACTTAATAATATTTTGTTAGCATTTAAAAATATAATGTCAACATTTTTTATTAATGGAACTTACCATATTAAGGTCAAAAAACTGAAAATAAAATTTTATAAAATTAAAAAATCAAACTAAAATCTTATTTATCGGAGCATTTATGGGTTGAAATTAATAAGGTAACTTCATGTAAATTTATATGATATGTATTGGTAAACTAAAATGTCAATACAATTTACACCAAGTCCTGGCATTATTAAGATTCATTGGTCAAATAGCACGGAGAATGAAGCATCTATCTAATAAAATATAAAATTGATGACACATCATAAAATATACTCCCTCCATTCCTATATATAAGTATTTTTTTAAATTTTTTTATTCCTAAATATAAGAAATTGTTAGCTTATTTTTTTAATAAACGGACCATTATACCCTTATTAAATTGAAAAAATAAAAATATAAGTACTTTTGTTAATTTATTTAAAAAAAGAGATTTATTTTTTATTTACAATAATTAGGAATAAAATTAAAATGTTGCTATACTTTTATTTAAATAACAAAATTTTATTGGTTTGTATGATTTGGTTAAAAACATATTTGATTTTTTTTTTTTTGGCCAACTATCATATTTGATTGATAGCGCACTCATAATATGACCAAAAAACTAAATGCTATTGAAGAGATCAACCTCATGGTAGATTACTGCTATGCAAAAATTTTGAAATTGCACGTGAGATCAAGATTTAGTATCATGTTTGTGAAGATAAATACTGCTGGTTTAGGAATCACGTTTGTGAAGGATAAATACAATTGGTTTAGGAATTTTGGATAGTTTAAACTGATGGAATAATCATGTTTGATGGGAAACAGGCCATTATGTCCGGAGTAATCAGTGTATCTGACATATTAATTATTTCAAAATCATGAGTTGATCACAATTAGGAATAAATGGTGGATTAATTTCTGATTTAATTTCAAAATGAGAAATGATTCCTCCACAGTCAATATAATTATTTCAATTAGTTTATTCCCTCCATTATGACTTATGAGGCAAATTAGTGATGATTAGAATTTTTTTTCATAGTGGCCTCTCCACACTATAAATAGAGGTGAATAGTTAAAGAAAGAACTTACTACAAAGTGAGCACCTCTTAGTGTTTGTTCTTCCTCTCCCTCTCTTTAAGCACTTGATCTCTCTCAATGTATGTTCTCTAGTAGTCTGATCTCGTATGGATATCAGATAGATTTTGCTATTTCTAGATTCAGTAAGACTCTGACCCAACTTTGTTTTCTTGGTGTATATTTATTTTATAACATTCCTTTAGATAATAATGAAAAAAGTGAAAACTTACTAATAAAGATTGGTTTAGTTAATAAAAATTTAGCTCATAATTCAAAAAGTTGTGCGTTCAAATCTTAATATCAATATGGAGACTTTATTGGTGTGTAATTTGTAAATATCTCTATAAATACTATTTGAATTTAGATACATGTCTTGATCTTGATGAATTCTTGGGCCCAACTCACCTAATTTTCTTAATAAAAAAATGAAAAATGAGAGCAATAGCTCCTCTTAGTTCCCACTCCCACTCCATTTGCACCAAGTTTCAAGACATGCCAGTTGATTGCTAAAAGCATTTTTTTTCCCCTTAAAGATGTGGACACGACCATGTTGACGCAGCATGCATTAATCGGAGTATGTAGGTTGGGAAGTAGGTATAATGGCACATCTTGTACTATATCATAACATAAATTATATGTTAAGAGCAAAGCTTTTATTTTCTTGAAATAAAAATTAATGTGAGTTGGATTTCAAGACTTCATAGAGTTGGATCATGTTTGCAACTTCAAAAAACACCTATAAAAATATTTATAAATTACCCATGAACGTTGTCCTCATTTTAAAATCGGTATTTAAACGCACGATCATGTGATTGTGGTTAAAATCTTTATAAACTGGACATATATTTAATGTTGTTTAAGAATAAAGCTTTCATAAAGTTATAATGGCGGCAAAAATCTGCAATCAAAAAACTTGAATACCATACCAAATGGACTGTAAATATCTAGACCTATAAGAACATTGAGCCCTTGAATTTTTTATTTATTACATGAACACATGAATCTCTCATAACAAAATAAAATTTAGCTAATTAATCTCATGCATTTTTTTTTCTAATTGTCTCTTATTTTTCTATTATTTTTTTCCTTGTCCTGGCACTTATTTTGATATATTCATTCTTGTTTTATATATTATATATAATTTATTTTCTATAAAATAGGTTGTATTTATTGTCATTTTAATTAATTTTATTTTCTATTAAAAAAATTAGAAACTCAATCAAATTAAATTAAAATTGACCATACTGAAGAAAATAATGTATCCTCTCAAGTAATATTGATTAGAATATTCTTTATACGTGACCTTCAATTTTAAGATTTATTTGATATCCACGACGAAAATTAATAGAATGAAAATTGAGTTGCATGCTCGAACAAAGAGCTATGCATTTTTTTTAAAAAAATTTCTTCAAGTGTACTATCAAAATTAATTTCATTATAAAAGAATTAAATCCATATTTAAAAAAAGTCAAATTAATTTGCATCAAAGTAATATGAACCCATTCCACCATGTCCCAACCTTACAAAAGTTATAAATAAAAAAAGTTCTTACGTACGACCTCCCAATAATGGTGGGATCAAAAGAAGAAACTACTTTATAACCCTTCAAATGGACTCGTGACGTTAGATTTAAGAAATGTGGTGTCAGATTTAAGTTATGTTTTTGGTCTCTTGTAGTTGATTAATTATATTAGTTTTATTATCCCTAGTGAGTTGCATTAGTTTTAAATGAAAAAGTGTACTTGATTATTCAAAATTTAAATATATGTTGTCATATAAATTAAATTAGTCGTTTACTTCTTACTTTTCCATCAATCTCTTTCACTCCATCTTCTTTATCAAGATTTCACAATCTCATCCCAATTCCAAACAAGAAACATTGACTACCCAGATAGGCATGGATTGAAAATTAAGTTATATTCTTTTTTTGTTCAGGACAAAACTCGTAAAAGCATAATATCTTAATCCTATCATATCCCATAAACACCCTCAAAGTTTCAACAAAATTATAGATTTAATATTATGGACAAAATAAATTGAATTATGTTTAAAAAACTTCACTTTTTTAATTGCACGCATTTCTTTTTACTAGAAACATTATTAGCTTAGGCACAATCAAATATTAAAAGCACTTCTTTGAATAAAAATTAAAACCTTAATTCACCATATTGTTAATGACTAATTTGTTTCACTAGACCTAATTCTTGTTGGTCATTTTACTTTAATTGATTTAATTGGCCTCGAAAATACTCACACGGTCACACACATATATGTATCAAATACAGAGACATCTGGTTATATATATTATAGAAAAATTGTCTTAAATATTATTCCGTTGGGTAAAGATATGGTTTATACATTATATATGGGTTAGAATAATATTATCAATATGAAAATTTCACAATTTAAGACAAATTTATATATAGCAATAAAACTCAATGATGACACTTTACAAGTTCATTTTTTCAAAAAAAAAATAATATAAACTTATAAAAATACTATTTATTTAATATAACTTTAAATTTATAATTATTTTAATTCCCTCTTCACTTAAAGAGTAATATTATATAAACTTATAAAAATACTATTTATTTAATATAACTTTAAATTTATAATTATTTTAATTCCCACTTCACTTAAAGAGTAATATTAAAAAATTTTTATTAATAAAATTTTATTTTTAACAAAACATCTTATATGTTAAGATAATAGAATTCCTCCAATATTATTTTATAATATGGGATGGCGAAGGAATGTTTTGTAAGTGTATTTTGAGGCATGTGCGAGACCTACCCTAATACTGC